TTGATGAATATAGATTAAGAGATAAAGTAATGGCTATAACATTAGATAATACTAGTGCAAATACTAAAGCAATTGAATATTTTGAAATGATTAAGTTTATTCGGTGATGGTGATATTTTTTACCAACGTTGTGCATGCCATGTAACTAATTTAATATTTAGATTTGGTTTAAAATCAATGGCTATTCCTATAAAAGTAATTAGAGATAATATTGCATAGATTCAGGGTAGTAACTCAAGACAACAAGATTGGTTTAGGTTCTTACAAACACTAAATATAACTCCTAGAGCATTAGCCTTAGATATGCCTATAAGATGGAACTCAACTTATATAATACTTTAACAATGCATCCCCTATAAGGATGCTATAACAAACTATAGTGCAAAATTAGGAGTAGGATACATAGATGCATATGATTAGTAAATTGTCGAAACTTTGTATCAATTTTTAAGTAGGTTTCATAAAGTTACTTTAAAACTTAGTGGAATATATTACCCAACATCACCTTTAACTTTAGGTGAACTTTTAAGAATGAGTATTTTATTTAGTGAATTTAGGAATGACCCACTTTTAGCAGTTCCTCTAGCTTCTATGGAAAAGAAATTTAAAAAATATTGGTCTAAATTACCAATATTGTATGGTTTAGGTACTATATTTGATCCTATATTAAAATTAGAAGGTTTAGAAAGTGGTTTAGAAAAATTAGGTGAATTTTTAGGCATCGATTGTTCTGACCAATTTTTGAAAATAAAGGAAAAAATATTTTCTCTCTATAGCAAATACGAGAATAGGTTTAGAAACACAAATTCTGGAGTACATGAACCACAAAAAAGAGATGAAAACCTGCATTCATTCTTGAATGTTTTCAGGTTGAAGAAGACGAAGAAGATGACTCAAACAGAAGCTGGTAGTGGATATTCATCAATAGGTGGCAGCATCTTCAACAAGCTTATGGCGTACCCCAGCGAGAGCTTAGTAGTCGACGGTAGTGGAGAATCGTTTGACTTAGTTCAATAGTGGAGGGCACGAGCATTAACTTGGCCAGTCCTAACTCGATTGGCAATGGATATTTTTTTTATCCTAGTCTACACTTTTTCATCCAAACAAGCCTTCAGTACGCCCGGACGAATACTTGAGGAACGCTGAAACACATTGCAAAGGGACATTGTTGAAGCCTTGGTCTGCATTAAGGATTGAGATCATACCAATCAACGTTTACATGATACAATTTCACCAGCAAGTCAAGAATGAATCGATGAATTTAATAGATTAACATTTAATTTTGAAGATGATCCTTCAGCTTCAAATTAAATTGTAATTTGTAAATATGTATTTGCTTTTGACATTGTAATTGTATATTTAGACTTTGTAAGTTTGTAAAATTTATAATTCGTCACAAAATGATTGCACTCTTTTTTCCTTACTAAGTTTTTATGCCAATTATGTTTTTCTTGGTAAGATTTTTAACGAGGCAATCATGAATTATAAATTTAAAAATTAATATATAAAATTAAAATTTTAAATTGTGTTAATAGTTGTGTTGATTTTAGTTTCTATATAATTTTAACACAAAATAACTTAATAATTATTTATATACAAATACAATTAATAAATAATAGTATATTATTTATAATATATATACAATATTATAAAAATGAAAAATATAATAAAAAAATATTTTTTTGGGCCATTCGGAAGGGCTCGGGCAGCCAAAACTAGGCCCGCGGCTCGTCCATGGGCCTTCTCGGGCTTGGGCAGACGGGTTCGGGCGTTGGGCTCAAAATCAGTTTTTTTGAGCGGTTGCAAGGCCCGTCCAAAGTTCCAACACTACCCAATACTTTCTTCTCCTTCAAAAAAATTTAACATACCTAACTATGGGCTTGTTTGGGAAAGCTTACTAAAAGTTATTTTTGATTTTCTAAGTCTAAAAACGGTTTCTGAAAGTGTTTGGATGATCTATTAGAAGTGCTTTGGTTTTTCAGAAGAGTTTCCGGTCAAAGTTAGAAATTATCGCTTCTAAAAAAAACACTTCTGAATAGACTTTGAAACTTGTACTAGAGTTTAATTAAAATATTATAAACTTAATTCCAACACTTTTATTGCTTATTAGAAAATTTAAAAATTATTTTAACACATTAAGCTCTTTGTTCTAAACACTTACTGAAAAACCACAACTTTTATTTCTCTTCTTCTACCGGCTAAAAACAAAAGCAAAACTCTGTCAAACGGACCCTATATATAGAAAGTTTAATATGCTCCTACAGGGAATCGACCAAAACGCAAGTGTTAGTTGAAACGCACCCTCTATTTTATTTTATTTTTACTTTTTTCTCTAAAACTTTTTTTTTATTTTGGTCCTCTTTGGCCTTTTTTTTCACTTTGCCCTAAAACTTATTATTATTTTTCACTTTAGTTCCTCTTACCTTAAAATTTATTTATTGCTTCATTTTAGTCTTTTTTTGACATTTTTCTTTTTCTTCTTGCCGTAAAAATTTATTTTTATTTCATTTTAGTTCTTCTTTAGAATTTTGTATTTCGATTATAAATGCTTTTAATGTGTCTTATATCTAAAACTTTATTGTGACGTGCATTTCTTTTCATCTACCTTTATTTAATTGCAACTATTCTATCTTGTTTCTGTTTAGTGATTTTAAAATGTACTTTTTCCCCTACTCTATTCCTATTACCATAATTTCTTTCATATGCCAGCACTTTATTTTTTTATTTTTATTTTGCCAATCTCTACCATGTAATCATTTTGTGATGTGCTTCTTTTAAATAGATATTCTCCCGAGTATCTTCCTATATATTGAAAGTTCAACAAGAGCTTCCCATTTCAACCAAAACGCCCCTTCCTTTTTTTTTTCCCCCAAATCTTTTATTTTAATTTTTTATTTTTACTACAAAACTTCTTTATTTTTTTCATTTTAGTCTTAAACTCACCTTTTCTTTTCCTTTTTCCTCAAGTCTTTTATTTCATTTTTTTTTTTTTTTTCTAAAACTTATTTATCTTTTCATTTGCTCTAAAACTTTGCCAATCTCTTTTGCTCGAAGAGAGCGTCCAACTCATCGCACAAAGTATTCCGGAGCTTGTAAGATGACATTGCATTGGACGAGATACTTTGAACCATTGATTTGATGAGAGTGGTTCTCCCACTCCGCAAAAGACACTTGGCCATCCATCCTTTCATGCGATTCATGACCCTTTCTTTAAGGTAAGAGAAGTCTCTTTGTTTGTTACGACTGAGTAGAAGAGAGTTTCCCAAGTATTTTATAGCCTCGTTTACTTCGCTGATTCAAGTTTAAAATTCAAGTTGAGATGTGATTTTATGTGAGAGCTTTTTACTGTAGCAAAAGAGTTAGATGTGATTGTTTGTGAGAGCCTTTTATTGTAGAAAAACTCGAATTCTAAACTCGAATCAGCGAAGTGAACGGGACCTGTATCTCTCTTGACTTCCTTCATCCCCAAGTCTTGAATCAACTCTGAGGTGGACGAGCAATTTGGTAAGAAAATTAGGCCAGGGAAGAATATTTGTCAAGGCAAATCACAGAATTCTGCAGGAGTAGCCCCGTAGAACAACATTGAACATCAAACAATTAACGGGACAGATCTGTCAATATTTATGACGCTAAACTATCATTCTTTCTCCATCCGTAATATCATTCATGAAAGAATTTCAACTTTCAAGATGTACAAGTTTGGAGATAACGGATCACTTTGGTGCAGTCCTCGTTCCAGTAAAAACTTTTGAAGAAGACTTCCATCTAATAAAAACGACAAGGAATTCGAGCCAAGGCATTCCGCAATCAGCTTAAAAGTCTCACTGAAACCAAAGCACCTCATAACAACAAGGAGGAATTTCCATTCCATCTGGTGTACCTTTTTTTCATATCCACCTTAATCCCAAGTAAGCTTCCCCGGCCTTCTTCCTCTTCATAATATGAAGAATTTCATAAGCCAGGATGGTATTTTCGGCTATTCATCGTCCCAGAACAAATGCCAATTAGAGCGGCAAGATGAGCTTGTCCACATATCTTTAAGCCTCATAATGATACTCTTGGATACTATTTTATAACAAAAATTACACATGTTTGGAACCTGAACTTAGAGCCCGTTTGGTTTGTGGATTAAAATTATGTGATTAAAATTATTTTCGATTTACGTGTATTTTTTGTGAGAGAAAATACTGTAGCGAATCATGAATCATGATTCAAATCAGGGAATAAATCCCTTTATCAAATGGGCTCTAAAATTATTTTTAATTTTTTTAATAAAAAATAAAAGTGTTGGAATGAAATTTATAATGCCTCAATAAAACTCTGGTATAAGTTTTAAAATTTATTTAGAAGCGTCTTTTTAGAAGCCACATTTTGTACTTTTGACTAGAGGCAATTATCCAAACATTAGAAGTAATTTTTAGACTTAAGAAGTTTAGCAAACTCTTTCAAATAAGCTCTTAATGCAAATTCCAAATGAAAAATCCTTATCCAAACCTTATATTTCCTTAATAGTGTGTTTGGTATGAATGAAAAGTGAAAGGAAATAAAATGTTAGAGGGATTTTGGGATGGAAATTTAAAAGTTAGATTGTTTAGTAGAAAAGAAATTAAGAAGGAAAGGAAAATTGAATGGAAATTTTTATTAGTGGGTCATACTATATTTAATCCCTCCAAAAGTGGGTGGATTTTAAAAAGAAAAATATGTATAACTACACAAATAAAATCAAATTATTAAATTGTCCTCATTTTTCATTTAAAATTATCATCATTTGGGCAAAAAAATAATTATACCAATAATAATTTTTTCATTCTTTTAGTTTCACTTTCAATATCAAACAAAGAAAGATAAATTTATTTATTTTATTTCTTATCATACCAAACAAATAAAAAAAAAAAATCTTTTCTATCTTTTTAATTTTTTATGCATTATAATTTTTTTTCCCCTCCCATTTTATTTTCTTCTTCTTACCAAACTGAGCGTAAAAGGGGAAGAGAATAATGTTAGAACAGAATATCATTCCCCGGCCCGCTCCATTCCCAAACCGCAATAAGAAAAGCCTAAAAATTAAAATCGAAAAAAGGGAAAAATGAAAATAGCCCTTTTCCCGGTCTTTTTTTCTTTTTGAAATTCCATTTTCTATGCATTGAAACAAAACCCGCTAAGAAAAGCCTAAAACCCTAACTCCGATCAGCAACCGAACCTGCTAGCTTCTGCTAGCTCCGATCCTCGATCGGCGACGAGAAAAGCGGCGAAGCCAAAGCTTCTGAATCTCGCGAAATCTAGGGCAAACGCTTAGCTGAGAGCGAGCGTGGGAGAGATCGGAGCTCTCGCTGGCAATGGCGGGAATTCTAAAGCCGCCGGGAAATTTCTCAGTGACGCCTCACAAAATCTCCGTCTGTATACTTCTCTCAATCTACGCGCCGCCGGCTCAGATCTCCGTGCCCTTCCCTTTCTCCTCCGTTGCTCAGCATAACCGCGTCGGCTTGTTCTTGTTGGCCCTCACTAAGGTTCTCAAATCTCTCCCTCTTTTTCACGATTCGTGCTAAATTCCCTATAAGAGTTAGCTTAATTGCTCATTAAATGCTATATTCGTGGTTATTGCTTAGGTTTGATTCCTTCGGACTGCTGTGTTTTCTTGTTTATTTGGGTTGATTGGAAATGTTTGACGTACTCTTTTGAACTCTGTATAAATTCCTTTTTCGTTGTTCTTTGGCAGTCCTGTGATGATATTTTTGAGCCAAAATTGGACGAATTGATAAGCCAATTGAGGGAAATTGGGGGCTTATTGAGTCATTGGTTAACTGATCAATTAACAAGCCGGTTGTCATCTTTATTGTCACCTGATGATTTGTTTAACTTCGTCGGTGAAATGCGAGGTCGGTGATTCTGAATTTATTATTGTTGTTTTTTCACGTTTCTTTTGAGCTTCTTCTACCCGTGTTTAATACTCCCCCCCCTCCTTTTACATGAATTCTCGTTTTCTAAGGCTTTAAATTTTGTCTTCAGCAATACTTGGGGGTCCTGAGGCTGGTGTTGTTGAAGATGACCAGGTTATGTTGGACCCAAATAGCAACCTAGGGAAGTTTCTCCGCCGATGTGTACTTGCTTTTAATCTCTTATCATTTGAGGTTTATGCTTCTTTCTTCTTCTTTTTTTTTTTTGGATGATTTTGTAATTCTTGTACTGATGGTTATTGCTTTAATTTTTCACATTCTTTTTAGAAGAAGCGTAGAGTTTATTAAAACAAAAGGAGAACACACCACACATATGGAAGGAGGACCAGAAGTTAACCAAATCATGCTTTAATTTTCTCATTACTAACCGCTATAAAAAGAAAATTTTTCTTCACTTCTTTTATTCCAAGCTTCCAAGAAATATTCTCATGTAACTTTCTTAAGAAACCAAAAACGATTTGTATACAATGCTTGTGTCAAATTCGGTATTAAACCTTTTCTCTTTGGTTATTATATGAGATAAATTGGGCATTCTTATGTACTCATAATAGGTTGAGATTCTGTTGATTTTATTATTTATGCGCTTCAAAATTTAATGCAGGGTGTGTGCCATCTCTTGACAAATATAGGAAGCTATTGTAAAATAGCACTCTCAAGTTGTCCTTCTTATGATGCACGTCTTTTAGATGACTCTAGTAATGATTTGGAAGTGCTATCAGAATATGACAACATGGACCTGGAGAATTTAGTTTTTGAGAAGGTTGATGAAGAAATTGAAGCAAGAGAAAGGGCTAGTGAAGGAAATTCTTTTCATCTTCATGTGCCCAAAGCACTTTCTGCTTTGGTCAAAGGTATAGTTTTCTGGCCTATACTTTAAAAGTTCATTATTACTATTTGAAGATTTTGAGAGAGACAGTGACTCTTTTCTTCACTTATTAAGAAATCTGTACACCAATTTATACAATAGAGAGACCATCTAAGAAACTAATAAAGCCTAGCTAATTTATACCATATGTTACGACTATACAGTCCTTTATGCATGGAATCTATATTAACCACAACTATCGTGATCTTCCAACATTATTATTAATTTTTTGTAGCAATATGAAAAACAAACATGCTCACACAAGGGAATATGCAGATATTGAGGTTCTAGCTGACCCAAGATTGAAACGTGTTGACAAGGATAGAGAAATTTGTCAGTATGTGCATCCGCCAACAAATGCATTAAGTAATATTGATGGCAATGGTGCTTTGTTTCTGCGCACAAACTTGCAGATACAAGGATTTCTACAAGAGCAAGCTGATGCTATTGAAAGGTGAGGTGTTTATTGATTTGTTTGCTTCAATTAATTTTGTTTTGATTTCTTTGCTTGCTTTATGCAGTTTAGATTCTGAAGTAATATTGTTATCATTGTGGCAGGCACGGAGGCTCTTTCTCTTTAAATGCTTTTGAAATTGTTTTGAGGCAGCTTCAAAAATCAGCACCCAAGCTACACCGTGTAAGTTAACTTGCCAATTTATTATCCCTATCACTCTGTTTGTTTTGTTTTGTTATGTTCTTTTTATTTGATTTGTTTTATCTTTTCTTTTACGATGGTCCTTGATTCAGGTTCACTTCTTGCGTTACTTGAATAGTCTTTATCATGATGATTATTTTGCTGCATTGGAGAATCTTCATTGCTATTTTGATTATAGGTAAACTAAGACTTGACTTTCATTTACTTGCAATATCTTTATTTATTTATTTTATGAATTATGGGTTTCTTCATTTTGATAATCTTATATTCAATGTGTATTGGAGAGTACTGATCCTGAGTTACTTTTTTCCTTTTGGTTGAAATGATCCCCATAAGATTCTTATTTGAGATGACTTCATTTTGGCTATTCTAGAGGCATTGTAGAAGCTGCATCATGCTGTTCTATTCTGTTTGGACTTCATTTACTTGTGTATTACTATTACTACCAATCATCATTGAAGAAAATTCCATCTTGTGATCTTTATCCTTTGACTTATTTTTTACTGTAATTAGATTTATGGGAGCAGCCTCACATTGGAAAAATAAGAGAAATTTGTTGTCAGAATTAATGTGTTAACAAATAAGGTTTCTATTTTTTATTTTTTTGCTGCCAAGTTGCTATATATTTGTAATATTGAATAATTGGAAACCCGTAATCCTGCCTATTTGAAGTGGTTTATTTGTTGCTCTAATAAATAATTCTTTTTGAATGACTGAATGCTGTTTGTTACTGCCCTCCTCATTTATTGCTAATTTTAAAAATGCACCTTGAATTGTTTTAAATATTAACACATGGTGAATTATGTTGATATATGAACGTATGTTTTTATTTGCATTTTTCTTGCTTCTTAAATCTTCTTAAGTTCCTGTTCCCCTTTTTGGTTCATTTTATTTCTATATGTACATATTTTTTAGATTCTATACGTTTATTTCATTGCGAACAAAATGAATAAAAACTTTCAAGGAAATTATTTTCCACAAATTAACTGATCCAGTAGATAATGGGACTTTAGTGCAGGAGTTGAAGGATTTGACGCCGTTCCTCCTGCATCTGGTTACAATAGCTTAGGAAGATACGAAGTTGCTTTATTGTGTTTAGGAATCATGCATTTTCATTACGGGCACCCAAAGCAAGCTTTGGAGGTGAGCATGTGGAAATGGGTTTTCTGTCCCCTAAAAAACCCCTTTTCTATTTTTTCCAACATTTGTGAGTCAAGTTATGAAGCTGCCCCTTTTGTTGTTTTTGTAATTGTGTTTTCTGAAACTCTTTCAGGTACTCACCGAAGCAGTTCATATTTCTCAACAGGTACTTGTTAGTTTTGGTTTATTGGCTTTTGACATTGCCTGGTACTCTCCTATGTTTATCTCTCTTCTTGCTTTTAAGTCAGCTGTTAGTATATATTTGTTTATTATGATAACTAATTATTTATTTATTTCTATTATAATTATAATAACTAATAGGTATGACGAAAATTTGTTTCTTCCGAGCCAATGTGATTGAAAGCTTTCTCACTTATCTTTGATTTCTGTTGCTAGAGTCTGAAAATGATTGTGTTCACGGCTTTATTTTGTTCTCTGATTCATCTTGTGAGCAGTTATATTGCCTGAATATAATTTCTAGACACAAATAGTTCTGTTGCAGAGTGCTGACATCCTGTTTAGACTATTAGTTATACATATCTTATACAAGTTTTCACATAAAGAAGCTCCATCTTTTTGAGTTTTGTATTTTTCTGCATTGAGGTTGTACGATTTTGATTTTTGCAGCAAAGTAATGATGTTTGTCTTGCCTACACTTTAGCCGCTATCTGCAACTTGTTGTCAGAAATTGGCATCTCGAGTACAACTGGGATACTGGGATCATCATACTCACCTTTGACCAGCATAGGCATTTCGCTCTCTGTCCAGCAACAATTGTTTGTACTTTTGAGAGGCTCTCTAAGGAGAGCAGAAAATCTGAAGTTAAAACGACTTGTGGCGTCCAATCATCTGGCCATGGCTAGATTTGACTTGACGGTAAGAACAGGTTTGGTGTTTTATGTGTGTGTGCGTGTGCTTGAACTTCTCATTCTCCATTTAAGAATTAAGACTGAATTTGATGATTTTTTATTTTTTATTTATTTTTTATTTTTTTAATTTTTAATTTTAAGTGTCATGTACAAATTGCAGTTTTTATTTTTGATATGTATTGCATAAATATAAAATCTATTTGGTTCTTTTAACTTTATTAGATGAAATAATATATATATATATATATTTTTTTTTTTTTTTGTTTCTTTGGTATCCTACTAAGTAAGTTGGATCTGTTGTGTCATTCTCCGCAGCACGTTCAAAGGCCTCTGCTATCATTTGGTCCCAAAGCTTCCATGAAGCTTAGAACCTCACCAATTAACGTTTGCAAGGTAGTTTTTGGAAACTTGATGGATATCCTTGTTCTTTCCCTTTAGGATGATCCCTTCCCCCCGCCCACAATCAAAGAGGTTATTTGGTTGGGGGATTCGTCCCCTGATTCGAATCATGGCTCGTGGTTCGCTACAGTATTTTCACTCACAAAAAATACACGTGAATTGAAAATGATTCTAATCACATGGTTCTAATCCATGAACCAAACGTCTTTCAAGTTTCCTCTTAATAATCTGTTTGCTATTTTAACTGTCTTTGCAGGAACTTAGATCAAGTTCTCAATTGATTAGTGAATTTGTCTCTGAAAGTAGCACACTAACAACTGACGGTCATTTTAGCACTGCATGGCTTAAAAATTTACAAAAACCTGTGGGTTCACAAGTACTATCCCAAGAAAATGGGTCTGAAAGCAATCATAACTCTTTCCAGTTTTGTGCGCAACCAAGTTCAATTCCTGGATCCGTGTTGCAATTAGTGGGTTCATCGTACTTACTCCGTGCGACTGCATGGGAATTATATGGAAGGTAAGGACCTTTCTTACTTTTCTTCTTTGTTACACTGATTTAATATCTAACTTATGAAGACTTTTATATTGTCTTCTACTCTTGAAAATTGGTTCTAGAATATGTTCTTTTGGTCCATAGCTTATTCTATTTCCCAATGTAGAAAGGTCCATTGGTTTAGCTTGATTATTTTTATGAAATTACTTTCTTTTCTATGACACTAGTGCCTCTCTTGCGAAAGTGAACGCACTTGTTTATGCAACTTGCTTTGCTGATGTTTCAAGGTAATCTAGCTGAAACTATCATAAAGCTTCTCACCTTTTTCCTTTTCCTGCTATGTTCTGTGTCACCGTCCACTTGAACTTATATTAGGTTTTCTTGGATCTCTGCAGTTCATCTGATGCATCATTATCATATGTGAAGCTTATCCAACATCTAGCAGCTTTCAAAGGATACAAAGGTCAGATTAAATGCTCGAATGCCTTAATAGAATCTTATGTAGAACAAGTTAAGATTTAGAGGGAAGAAGAGGAGAAAGAAATAGGTAGAGAAAGATTTAGGGCCCGTTCAGTTCGCTAATTCGAGTTGAGATGTGATGTTGTGTGAGAGCTTTTTACTGTAGCAAAAACGTTAGATGTAACTGTTTTTGAGAGCTTTTTATTGTAGCAAAACTCGAATTTTAAACTCGAATCAACGAAATGAACGGGGCCTTAGAATTTGAGAAGGAGAAGAGAGTAAAACAAAGAATTTTCAGGGAGAGAACAAGAATATTAGGAGAAGAAAAGTGTGTATTTCATAACCAAAATGACTCTTAATTCATGTTACAAGATGGACTATTTATAGATAGGCAATTTAGCACAAGTGGTTAAGTGACAACTAGTTTACAAGTTGGTTCCTCATAAATCCAAACTAATGACAACTAAAAATGACTTGGCACAAGTGGCAAAGTTGGTTTCTAACAAATGACAACTAAGCATGAGTTGGCACAAGTTGCCAAGTTGTCAACTTGCACAAAATAGGCTAGCAAGTAGCAAATGAGAACCAAGCATGAGTTGACACAAGTTGTCAAGTTGTCAACTTGAACAAAATAACAAAGTACAAAAATAATAAAATATTAAATCATAATTCTTAGTTCTTCTTCCAACGACGTCTAGTATAGGTTCATAACTTAGCACTATGTTCCGCGTCACTTTGCTTTTTTGCTATTGGAGGATCATTTTATTTTATCTAATGCCATGTTCTTCGATTTATTCTAAATAATTATGTACACATGGTTTTCATTTTTGTTTTTGTTTTTGTTTTTTATTTTATATTTTGGTTAGTCATTTTCTCAAAATAAGATTTTATTTTTCAGATATATTTAAATACTAGGGGTTGACATTTTTCATACACATTTTTTTTGGTTTGATTGTAAGACTTTGAAACAAATAATATTTATAGTCTAGCATCCTTGCTACACATTATACGATAAATGTATTCAACTTCATTTTTATCCCTACTTCACTAAACAATATATTCATTTTTTGGGGTGAAAGGATAGAAATAAACATTTTATATTGTTAAGTCTTTTCTTGCATTTTATAGTCCTTTTTCTTTCCTTTTCTTTCTTTCGTTCCTTCTTTCCCCTAATAGGTCTTTTTAATAGTTTGAATGCTATTGTAGTCGTGGATGTCTTATTTGTGTCTGCTTACTTCTTGAGAGTGATAGAACCTGGTCCTAAAAACAGTAGCAATAACAAGGGAAATTGATCGATCAAAAGGATTTGATTACTTTCTATTGAGCAAAGAACAAAGAAAAGTACAAGGATATGGGGTTTAAGAGTGACCCTTGCATTCCCTAAAGTTAATGCTTGTCTAGATACAGAGAACTTAGAGAAAATGATCGATACCCTCCCTCACTCCTCAGCTCACATTTTATTCCATTCCACTAACTAACCATCTTCAATCCCTATGCAATCTTACTAATCAGAGCTCTCCCACCTCATTGCCTCCAATCGGCGTTCCTCCAACTGCTAGCGCCGCAGCCTTGTCATTTCCCAAATCTTCTGATTCTCCTATTGCCAACTCAGTGGCCAAGCTGTCATTCAAAACAACCTATCCTTTGTTCGAACTTTTCCCTCTCTTACCTCCCCAATTCCTACGACAAGCATAGGTGAAACATAATGGTGGCCTATCAATACCCCCGCCCAATTGAGCACCTTGTCCTCAAGGTGAAAGTTTGGAAATTGCGTCTTAATGGCGTCAAAGGATTCTCACGTGTCATCATTGGGCGACAGCTTGTCCTAGTGAATGAAAACCTCCAGCCCGAAATCATTACTTCGCACGCTCTGACGAACTCCCCGCAAGGCGGTAGGGACAGCCTTGAGCTCCATGTCTCCAGATAAATTTGGGGCCAATGTGGCAGTGGCGGTTGCTGCTCCAATGGCCTGATGCAACTGGGAAACATGGAAAACAGGGTGAATGGCGGCAGAATCCGGAAGTTAAAGGCGGTAAGTGACAGCCCCAACGCGGCCAACACTCGAAAAGGACCGTAATAACGGGGGGGGGGGGGGGGGGGGGCTC